CTGTAAGATCTTGATGGGCTAAATCTGAAGGATTGGCTTTAAGAAGAGATGAGGATGGGGCCCCTGGTTGGCTCAGTCAGTTAAGTTCGGCTCTTAGTTTCGGCTTGAGTGGCGGTCTCCGAGTTGTGGGAGTTGTGGGATGGAGCCCCATGTCCTGCTCAGTGGGGAGTCTGCTGGAGATCCTATTTCTCTCTCTCTCTCTAGAATAAATAAATTAAATATTTTTTTAAAAAAAGAAAAGAGACAAGGATGGAGAAAAGGAGAAGGAAAGAAGGAAGAGAGGAAAAAGAAGGAAGGAAGGGATGCGACAATAAACTCAGACCAAATCCAGAGTGTGTTATGTCTGGAAATTAACAAACATATAAATAAATACCTAGATTTAGCAAGGCAAGTATGCAGATTTGTGGCCGTATCTAGATGTTAATCCTAGCTCCAACAATCACTGGTTTTATAACCAGGGGTGTGTTATGTAACTTCAATTTCCTTGCCCCTCAAATGAGAATTCTAAAAAAATCAATAAAATTTTTTATGACTAAAAAAATAAACACACACTTTTGGAAACGATTTTTTAAAAATCTGAAAAGTGGAGAAAACAGTAATCACCCATTTCTCTCAAAAACACCATTAAGAGTTTATTGTTGCCCTTTATGTTAGTAATATAACTGGTTCATGCTATGCATGCAGTTTTGCCTCTTTGTTTTCTTCATTTAACGGGATAATCATCTTCTCACTTTATTAAACCTCTTACTTATAATAATTTAATGGCAATATAATAGTTCCTCATATGAATATACCCCAAGTGACTGAAATGTTACTTTTTGTCAAGCATTTGTTTTATTTCTTTATGAAAAATTATTAAGGCATACAGTACACACCTTTGTGCATTTGGCTCCATATTCCAGGCTATTTCCTTAGGGTAGATCCTTAAATGCTGAGATCACTTATTCAATGCAGATGACATCCCCCCCCCCTTTTTTAAAGGGACGGGTAGGGGAAGAGGGAGAGGCGAGAGAGAATTTTCAGCAGGCTCCATGCCCAGTGCAAAGCCTCTCACAACCCTGAGACCATGACCAGAGTTGAAATTAAGAGTCAAAAAAAGAAAAAAAAAAAAAAGAAGAAAGAAAGAAAGAAAAAAAGAAAGAAGAAAGAAAGAAAGAAAGAAAGAAAGAAAGAAAGAAAGAAAGAAATCAAGAGTCAGACATGTAACCAATTGAGCCACCCAGGCTCCCCAATACATGTGACATCTTAAATCACTTCTTGAAAACAGCTGATTATCTTCGGGATGCCTGAGTGACTCACTCCATTGAGCGACCAGCTCTTGATTTTGACTCCGGTCATGATCTCAGAGTCCTGGGATAGAGCCCCTCGTTAGGCTCTGTGCTCAGTGGGGAGCCTGCTTGAGGATTTTCTCCTCCTCTCCCTCTGCTCCTCACCCCCACTCTCTCTAAAATAAATAAATAGAATCTTAAAAACAAAACCTAACAGCTGGCCTTTTTAGTATCAGAGTGCTAAAATGAAGATTACTTCATTTCAGAAGTACTAAGTATCAGTCACTGGCATCGATAGGGCCTCAATAATTTCCAGTGTTCATGTCAATACAGAATTACATCATGCCTGGCACTGTTGCTAGTGTCCTGGCCATTAGTGAAGAATGGGACCCAATCGTCCCAGCCCTCAAAGAGCTTAGAAACTATGGAAGTAACAGAAATACACAAGTGAACACGGAGGCAAATGTATCGTTCAGGAATGATGAGATCCTTGGCTATAGATAATAGTTCTTTTTCTTACAACTGTTTGCCTCCTTAGTATTTAATTTAGAGATAAAATACTTGGGGCAGAGGGTGTGCTGACCATCCTCACTTACTCTGCATAGAGAGAGGCAGGCAGGACTGTGCTCTTAATGTTGCTCCCAGAAAAGGAATTAAAAATTGGAAGGGACAATACTCCCAGAAACTTTCAGATGAAATTTTCCTACCTTGATTCCAGCCATCTTCTAGGCCTCTTACCTTACATAAGGCATAAGGCTGAAGGTAAGGCATAAGGCTGTGCCAGATGGCTGTACAGGGGCAGATGCACATAGGGAAGGAAAATACTTTACTTGCAAAGCATGCAGGGTATCAGACTTTAAAAAGACTGGCTTGTCAAACACAAAAGCCCAACAAATATTCAAAGGCTAAAACTGCAAATCAGCAAGAAAACTAAGGTTGTATTATTCTGTTTATGGTGGAAAGCAATATTCTTACATGATTATCGTATTTTCAAAGGTCATGACACATCTTCAGTCATTAGCATAGAAAAATTAACAAAAATACATTCTTTGGGGCGTCCATAAACCAGTCAGGGTCATTTTATTTTGGTTTAATTCAGGATTCAAAGTGGTTCCCCTGCCTTCTTACTGTGGCATTGTGAATTGCTTCATCATTGGAAGAAAAAGTGTCAGTTTTTGTTTCTGCAGGAGATGTGATATGGTGTGTGTGTGTGTGTGTGTTGGGGGAGGATAAATACCCTACTGCTCTTTATGCTACTCTTCTTTCTTCTGCCAGTACGTCTCATTGGCCAACCTCAACCAGAAACTACGCGGTGAGGGAGACTGGCTAATACAGTCCTTAGTGACGAGCCTCCCATGGGGCAGAGCAGGCTGGAGAGTGTGGATCTGGGGAACAGACCCAGAATAACCAACAAAACTTTCCTTTTGCAAATCACTAAGAGGAAGAGCTGTCTCTGAAAGTGACAGAAATGGAAAAGTGGGAAACGGGAAAGGCTGGAGTAGAGAATTTATAAAGCTGCAGTAAGAAGGTGGGGGAACCCCTTTGCACCCTGAGTTAAGCTAAACAAGGTGACCCTGACTGGTTTAGGGACACCCCAAAGAATGTACTTTTGCTAATTTTTCTATGCTAATGTCTGAAGATGTGTCATGACGTTTGAAAATATAATTATGTAAGAATGTTCTCGAGAGAGGTAGGAAGAGAGTCTGGGTAGAACAATATTACAGAGGCCACGGGTGAGGAATTTCAAGGAGTAGGGAGTAGCCAATAGCTGCAAATACCATTCAGATCAGGTCAAAAGTAGCTGCCAGATTCAATGATTTGGAAGTCATTGGTGACCTTTATTAGGGTATTTTCAAGGAGTAAGATGGAAACTGGATGGCCTGTGCTAAGGGAGGAGTAGGGAATGGTCATAACGGGAAGGAGATAGGGAGGCATTCCCCTCTGGTGATGTAAGATTGAAGGAATGTGTTATGGATATGCTATAGGTCCTTTATCAGAGGTCCAGTGCTAATGAGGATGATGATGATGAACTGCCTCCAGGTAGCTTTTGTTATTTCTTTCCATAAGGTTGGAGGTAGGGTCCTCTGTTAGTGAAGAAGAAGGCAGAAGGGAAGACTTGAAGAGACTGGGGAAACTTGCACTTGTCTTGGTGGGAACCAGAAGGAGGGGCTCTTTAGGGGACTGGGGATAGTGCTGGGGTTGATAATGCCCCTTTGTTGTGGCCTCATTAGGCAGGATCTTGTCATGTCTAGTCCTGTTCAGCCTGGAATAGGTATGTTGAGTATTACAGAAGGTGACAGGATTGAGAAAAGGTCAAGGAGCCAAGAATAGTGACAGTATTGGCAAAAGGCTAATGGAAAAGATGAACTATATAGGTCTTGGTTGGGTAGGGAAGGGAGTAAAGCCCAAAGGAGGCTTATTTGGGGGAAGTAGAGGATCAAGGCAGTTTCGAAGAGGTGGAAGATGAGAAGTATTAATGATTATTGCTAACACTCATGGAGGGTTTAGGGATACTTTTACTTCTCCAGATACTTTTACTTCTCCCAACAGTCTTAAGAGTTTTGTCCTATTGTCATTTTTATAGGTAGAGAAATTGAAGCAGAAGCTTCAACGAGTCGCTCTGGGCCATACTCTTGGTCAATGGCATATCAGGGATTAGAACCTGGTCTGATCCCAGAGGCTGTGCTTGAGAACCAGGTAAAGGATTAGGGAGTAGAGAGATTTGTGGTCCGGGTATGGCATCCTGTGATTTAAGATTTCAGAGCTGATGCGAACAGATACGTATACACCTATGTTCATGGCAGCATTACTCACAACAGACAAAAGGTGGAAACAATCCAAGTGTCAAAAAACCAATCAATCAATCAATCAATCAATCCAAGTGTTCACGAACAGATGAATGGATAAACGAAATGTGGTCCATACACACAGTGGAACAGCATTCAGCCATAAAACATAAAGGAAATTTGATATATGCTACCACGTGGGTGGACCTTGAAAACATTATGCTTAGTGAAATAAGCCAGGCACAGAAAGACAAATATTGTGTGATTCCACTTGTATGAGTTACCTAGGATAGGCAAACTCACGGGGACAGCAGTCAGGATAGACTGGGAGGAGGCTATATGGGGAGTTATTGTTTAGTGGGTACAGAATTTTGGTTGCGGATGATAAAAAAGTCTTGGTTATGGAGAGAGGTGATGGTTACATGGCACTGTGGATGTACTTGATGCTCTGAATTGTACACTGACACATGGCTGAGCTCAAAAATACTATGCAAAGTACACTCTGCCACAATTTCAAAAAAAAGGATTTCTGTGGTGAACTACTTCTGGGTGATTACAACAAAAAGTCTGATTTAAAAGTGAGTTGCAGATTTTGTTATTTATTTATTTGTTTGAGAGAGAGAAAGAGCGCACAAGTGGGAGGGGGAGATGGAGAATCTCGAGCAGACTCTGCGCCGAGCGTGGAGGCTGACACAGGCCTCTCGGAGGACCATGAGATCATGACCTGAGCTGACACCAAGAGTCAGATGCTTAACTGACTGCGTGGGCCACCCAGGTGCCCCCGTTGCGGAGTTTAGCCTGGAGGTAAAGGTGGTTGGGGTTGGGGAGATCAAGAAAGGGAGAGGCCAAGAGTTGAATGGGTCACCTGGCAGGAGCTCTGTATCCTGACCTTAATCTATCCTCAGGGGGAGCATGGTGCTGTCAACAGGCCACATGCACTGAATACATGGAGGGTGCTAATCAAACTGGGATAGTTCGCTTCCACTTCCGCCCCTTCTCCAAACTCCCTGAGGTGCAGATGTTGATTTTTGTGGCCTTCTTGATCATGTACCTGGTCAGCATCAGCGGCAATGTCTCCATTTCTCTCATCATCTGGATCAACCGTTCTCTGCACACCCCCATGTACTTCTTCCTGGCCAACTTGGCAGCTCTGGAGATCTGCTACTCTTCCACCATCGCCCCTCTGACCCTGGCCAGCGTCCTGTCCACAGAGAGAGCCCTCATCTCCCTGCCTGGCTGTGGTACCCAGATGTTCTTCTTCATCTTCCTGGGTAGTGCTGACTGCATTCTACTAGCTGTCATGGCCTATGACAGGTTTGTGGCCATCTGTCACCCTTTGCGCTACACCCTCATGATGAGCTGGCAGTTGTGTGTGCAACTGGCCCTGGGGTCTCTGGTGCTGGGGTTCATCTTGGCCATGCAGCTGACTGTGCTCATCTTCCAACTCCCCTTCTGCAGCAGTAAAGAAATCAGTCTGTTCTACTGTGATGTCCTCCCTGTCATGAGACTGGCCTGTGCAGACACCTGGGTCCATGAGGCCACCCTCTTTGTGGTCAGCATCACCGTCCTCACTATCCCCTTCCTGCTGATCACTCTCTCCTACGTCTTCATCGTGGCCGCCATCCTGAAGATTCGCTCGGCAGAGGGGAGGCACAAGGCCTTCTCCACTTGCTCCTCTCACCTGACTGTGGTCCTGCTGCAGTACGGATGTGGGAGCCTCATCTACCTGTGCCCCAGCTCCAGTTACTCTCCAGAGAGGGGCCAGGTGGTGTCTGTGGTTTACACATTCATCACCCCTGTGCTGAACCCCTTGATCTACAGCATGAGAAACAGGGAGCTTAAGGATGCTTTGAAGAGAACCATGATCAGGTTCCTGTTGTCCTAAGCACCGGGAGCACTCTGGGTGCTCCTTTCCAACACTGCTGGGAAGAAACAGATGAGTGTGCTTTCTAAAAGATGAGGAGGTGGGGGCTCAGAGGTCACTGGTTTTATACTGTTACTTCTTCCTGGATATATTATATTTGAAAACTCATTTTTCTTTTTCTCAGCCTCAGATTCTTCATCTCTAACATGGGGATTAAAAGGCCCACCAGACTTAAATCTGGGCTAGTTTGGGGGACCCAAAGTGAAAATACTGTGACTTTTTAAAGGGAGATACAGCCGTGAATGTGGTCATTACATATTCTCATCATGACATGTAGAGTGTGTGTCCAGTTCTCAGGTTCTTAGTGGGCTTACACGTTGTACACGTGGACCCAAGAAAAAGATGCACATCAAACCGGGACCATCCAACCACTCTCCATTGATGCCCGTGGTGCAAATGCTGAGCTTATACATTTTTGAATTCTCCTTCATCCTAAATTCTTCCAGGGAAAAGTGATGGGGAAAGTGCTAAAGTTTAACAGTTGTGGTTCTTTTTTCTTACTCGGAGCTAATCAGTCTACATCTCAATCTCTGACTCTGTATGTGTTATTAGTCTGCGTCTAACTCACTCTCCCTGTGCCCGCTGGGTCTCCTCCCCGTTGTGTCCTTCTGTCTCAGATACACAGCACACACACATTCATGTGCCTCACATTCCTATCCGACTCTAGCTGGTCTGAATATTTGTGTCCCCTACCTCAGGTTCATCTGTTGAAATCCTAGTCCCCAGTGGAATGGCATAGGAAGGTGGGGCCTTTGGGAAATATGAGGTCACAAGGTTGGAGCCCTCATGAATGGGATTTGTGCTTTCATAAAAGAGACCCCACAGAACTCCTTGGCCCCTTGCACCATGTGAGGATACAAGAAGTCTGTGACCTGGAAGAGGTTCCTCACTCAGCCCTGACCTCAGACTTCTAGCCTCCAGAACTGTGAGAAATAAATTCCTGTTGTTTATTTTTTTTAAGATTTTATTTATTTATTTGAGAGAAACAGAGAGAGCGAGGTGGAGTGGCAGGTAGAGGGAGAGGAAGTAGCAGACTTGTCCCTGCCGAGCAGGGAGCCTGACACGAGGCTGGATCCCAGGACCCTGGGGTCATGACCTGAGCCAAAGGCAGATGCTTAACCAACTGAGCCACCCAAGTGTCCCAATTTCTGTTGTTTATAAAGCCACCCAGTCTATGGTACTTTGTTATAATAGCCCAGATGGACGAAGATACTAAGAATACACAATATGGAAAGATTGCTTTTTTAATTGAGCCTCTTTGGGTAGGGGAGGGATAACGCTGGTTCAAATCTGGATTCAGGTTGAGCAAAACTAGTTCTGTGAAGATAGACACCGGCTGGACACAATGGGGAGAAAGGATCCTAATGTGGCTGTGAGCAAAAGGATAATCATTTTAGGGTGATCACTGTCTCAGGGTAATGACATCAGAATATAGATAGTTTCCTGTCTTTTTATAGGGTGGGGGAAGCTCATTTATTCCTCTACCCATTGATTAGTGACTTATTGGAGTGCTTGCCTGGCTTATTTGGTGAAGTGTATACCTCTTGATCTCAAGGTTGTGAGTTCAAGCCCAAAGTTGGGTATGAAGCCTACTGAAAAAAAATTTTTTTTAAAATTATGAGTAATTTATTCACTCAATAAGTTTAAGAAGACAGTAAACAACTCTTTATTGAACTCTGCTATGTGCTACGTACCCACTTGTGGTAGGTGGAACAAGAAGTGGAAAGATAAGTAAGAGGCAGCTCCTGCCTTGGAGGAAGTTAAGTCTGGTAGTGTTTAAGAACACAAACTGTGATAGCCCAAGGGCAAGTGATGCAAAGCTATGAACTTCTGGAGGAGGGACAGCGAAAGGAATTAAGGCAAGTTTGATGGGGGACGTGGCATTTGAGCTGCAGCATGCAGGTGTCCAGGTCTCTGTGTGCAAACAGGAGCAGGAAGGGCATTTCTTTTCATGACTTTTAACCAACTGAGCCACCCAGGTGCCCAGGAAAGACATTTCTAAAGGAGAGAATTGAAAGGGCATAAGAATAAACAATGAGCTTTTTGTGCCTCTGTTTCCTTATCTGGAAAAGCATAAAATGTCTGCGACATTTATTTTCCTTTTCTGAAAATGTATCACAGACTTAGGAAGCAGAAACCATGACCAGAATTCATATTACATGGAACTGAAATGTTCCTGTCTTTCAAAGGAAGACAAGAACCAGAAACGATCCTCCTTGGTTCTTTTAGAGACACTTGCTGCCCCTCCTGTGTTCTATCACAATATTGCACTTGTGTTATCTGCAGGACACAAGTCTTGGTGAATAATTGGTGTTTGGGAGAAATAAATTTTATATGATCAAACAAGTGTGAAGAATACTGTGCCGATCAAACTCCAACCAGTGGTTTTCTGCAGGTTCACCTGGTGCTTGTAATGTGCAAATGTGCGGTCACACTCTAGGAAGAGGGATGCATTTCTCTCATGTTTTCTGAACAGTCACCACGAAACTCTTCTATTCCTTACCCCGTTGAACCCGCTGAGGCTGACTGACTACCAAGAGGGTGGTTTCACTAGTGATTGAGATATTCCAGGCACTTTTCAATTCCCTATGTTCCTTGAGAAAAACAATTGTAGTTATCATGGCTTAGTAGGTTTCTTCTTAAGTGATTGCATAAGGGAATTAATCATTGTCCATTTATCATCACAAAAACCCATGAGACAGGTGCTGTTGTTACCCCTGCTTACAGATAAGCAAACTGAGACACAGGGAATTTAAGTAATGTGTTCAAGTTCACGCAGCCAGGACAAGCAGAACATGGGATTTGATGTGGATGGTGTGGTTTCAAAGCCTGGGGAACAAAACTACTACCTCTCCCAGCAAGCCTATCACTGTTCTATGAGAGCTTGTGGAGATCCCTTGATTTTTCTGTAAATTTCATAATAAAATGGGAGCAATATTTCTACTCTATTTCCTCAAATTATTGTGACATCTTGGGGGAGCACAGAAAAACTGTAAGAGTACAAGAAAAGATTCAGCATGGTTAGTTTAATATAAAATGGAGGGGTGCCTGCATTGGCTCAGTTGGTAGAGCATGCAACTCTTGATCACAGGGTTGTGTGTTCAAGCTCAATGTTGGGCGTGGAACCTACTTAAAAAAAATCTAAATGGAGATATATACAAGATAGCTTATCTTTTTAGTTATAAATATTTTATTTTTAAAAATATTTCATTTATTTATTTATTCATGAGAGACACACAGAGAGAGGCAGAGAGACAGAAGGAGAAGCAGGCTTCTCTCAGGGAGCCCAATGCGGGACTTGATCCCAGGCCCAGGATCACACCCTGAGCCAAAGGCAGATGCCCAACTCCTTAGCCACCCAGGCATCCCAGTTATAAACATTTTTAAGCCATAGTTATTTAACTGCTTTTCACCTATGCTCTACTATGTTTATCTGTTACTCATGACAGGTGTTTCAAAGGTTTTCTAAGAAACAAACATGTCTCCTGCAGCTCAAAGTAACTGCAGCCTCCTCTGGGTAAGGCTTCTTTAACCAGGCTCCTCAGAGTAGCACTTTGTGCTTTAAGGTTCCAGGGATTGAGGAGTTTATATAAACATAAAAACAAATTTATAAAGTTCAAATTATACTGTCAAATCAAAGGCATATGGCATATGGAAGTTCATGCTAGGAAAAAATCTGAACAACATGATAGAAGACCTCTTTGTAAATGATGCCTGGGTGCCTGGGTGATTCAGTTGCTCAAGCCTCTGACTCTTAATCTCAGCTCAGGTCTTTTTAAAAAATCTTATTTATTTATTCAAGACAGACACAGAGAGAGAGAGGCAGAGACATAGGCAGAAGGAAAAGCAGGCTCCATGCAGGGAGCCTGACGTGGGACTTGATCCCGGGACTCCAGGATCACGCCCTGAGCTGAAGGCAGATGCTTAATAGCTGAGCCACCCAGGCATCCCTCAGTCCTGGTCTTGATCTCAGGGTTGTGAGTTAAGTCCTGGAATGGGGTCCATGCTGGGCCTGGAGCCTACTGCAAAAGAAGGAAAGAAAGAAAGAAAAAAAGAAAGAAAGAAAGAAGAAAGAAAGAAAGAAAGAGAAAGAAAGAAAGAAAGAAAGAAAGAGAAAGAAAGAAAGAAAGAAAGAAAGAAAGAAAGAAAGAAAGAAAGAAAGAAAAAATACCAGTTGACCATAGATATATGGGCTTATTTCTTGGGTCATGAGTTCAAACCCCATGTTGGGCTCCTGCTAATTTTACACCTAAAGGAGCTGAAGAAAGAACAACAAATAAAGCCTAAACCCAGAGGAGAAGAGAAATAATAAAGATTAGAACAAAAATGGATAAAATAGAAACCAAAAGAATGGTAGAACAGATCAACAAAACTAATAGCTGATTCTTAGAATTAATAAGATCATAAACCCCTGGCCAGAGTTTGTCAAAAAGAAAAGAGAAAGAACACAAATAAATAAAATCATGAATGAAAGAGGAGATCACAACCAACACCAAAGAAATACAGACAATTAAAAGCAAATATATTATATGTATATAATAAATATAAGCAAAGATATGCCAACAAATTAGGCAATCTGGAAGAAATAGGTGCATCCATAGTGATGTATAAACTACTAAAAGTGAAATAGGAAGAAACAGAAAATCTGAACAGACCCATTACCAGCAATGAAATTGAAGCAGTCATCAAAAATCTTCCAACAAACCAGAGTCCAGGGCCAGATGACTCCCCAAGGGAATTCTACCAAACATTTAAAGATTCCACATCTATTCTTTTGAAGCTGTTTCAAAAAACAGAAATGGAAGGAAAACTTCCAAACTCTTTCCATGAGGCCAGCATTACCTTGATCCCCAAATCAGACAAAGACCCCACCAGAAAGGAGAATTACAGACCAATATCCCCAGTGAACATGGATGTGAATATTCTCACCAAAATACTAGCCAATAGGATCCAAAAGTACA